TTTAATTTTTTTTTTTTTTTTTTTTTTTTTTTTTTTTTTTTTGATAAACTCATTCTCTACCATGTTTTAGAAAATTTATTTAAAAGCGGTTCGTTTCGTACCGAGGAGAGTCCCGTGTTTATGGGATCATCTCCAGTGAAAGCATCTCTGGCTGCTTGGATGTCGTCCTCTGAAATATCTTTACCAAGCTTTGTGACATCTTCGAAGGACAGGCTGAAAAATTTATACTTCCATTTTCGATAACAGATTTCTTTAATCAAAAGTCAGACATCAGCAGTCCACAAAATGAGATAAATCTGCCCATGTAACAAAACGCCGAGGAACACAGTATTTAACTAGTAAGTTATTTAACTAGACAGCTACAGATTTATCTTAAATTATTTTATTGAAATTTATATCAAAAGGTCGGTCTTAAAGATCTTCTAGAAATATATTAATTTTTTAGTACTTTTGTCTTGACATCTGTCATGGTTGTTTCTCTGGGATATAAGTAATTATAAACTTTTTCAGTATGCCTATAATGTGTCTACTACACGTATATAAGTTTATAATTGAACAGCAGGATAAACAAACATAAAGATGGCGCTCACCCGTAAGCTGCTTTCGACACATTTGGAATAATGATATTCTTAAGGTGGGGTACCCTGAAATAAATACACTTGAGATGAATACTTAACAGTACTTAAAAGTACCGATGATGTTCAAAACATGGTAATTAGAAACTGAATTAGCAAGCAACTTTAGAACTCCGTAAGTCAATATTACAAGTATGTGTCGCGTCTACAATTGCGCTTCTAATTGTGCCTCTAAGGATACAGCTATTGAAAGGGGGTCAGACAGATTTCTGGCAGAGGTCAGACAGAGGTCAGAAAGAGGTCAAGAAAAGGTCAGACAGAGGTCAGGAAGAGGTCAAGTAGAGTTCAGGAAGAGGCCCAGGAGCACCTGTACACCCTTTGGGTTTCCCTATTTGCCACCGATTTGCAATTACTTTGACACGAGATAAGGCAATTTTCGGATCAGATGTGACACATTGACTTGGTGCAACTAGACTGCTTATCGTAGCGATCAGCTCGCCATATAGATCGAGACAATCTGGTTTCCTTTAATACCAGAAGTACAGAAGCGTGGTGGTTAGATTGTGGGGTCATCAGAATCCATGTCCACATCCCATGTTATAACAGCAGGGTGCTAAGTTTAACCGTCACAACTGGGATAGGACTACACCCCAGGTTCTACCTCTCAGACTGTATGTTTCTTCCACCAAATGTCTCCAAGTCTGGTATAAGTTCCTTCAAAGCAGCGACATTTTCTCCGTCCTGATTCTCTATCATCACCAGTGTTTTGGACTTTAACTGAAAAAAGGAATNGACGACATAGACACACACATACACACACACACACACAGAATAGGTCGAAACAGTGAATATAGTCACCTTCTGCCTGATCCCCACCCTGGGGAACGTCTCCATAACGACACACACACACACACACACACACACAGAGAGAGAGAGAGAGAATAAGTCAAAACAGTGAAGATAGTCACCTTTTGCCTGATCCCCACCCTGGGGAACGTCTCCATGACGACATAGTGGTCCGGCCACATGTGATCCAACAGCTGAAATGAGGAATTGGCGGGCTGTTTTAATATCCATAGTACAGTAAGCAGAAAGCCCGAACACAAACCATATATACATGTAGACTAAATGACGTCATATGGCGACCGTTTCCTCTCACTGGGCCCTATTCTTTGATTTTTTAATAGGTAAATTGACATCTTTCGTAAAACCCCGCCACTACTTAATCTCAGCACTGCTCTCTGCCTTACAATGTTCTAGTAACAGAAAACAGTGCACTGCATACTGTAAGTGTACCTAACACGATGGACATTCACCTACCTCCCTCTCACAGTGAGCTCGTAGTTCGTCCTCTGTGATATCTTGGTTTTTGGCGGGTCTGGGAAAAAACAGAGCAACACAGTTAATTTCCTACATACACACGAACACTACCATACATACACGTCAGCGTACAGTCGTACACTGTACATAGATCCCATTAGTATTATCGAAATAAAAATGATTAAAAAGTACAGATAAAAAGTTGTGATCGTAATGAATACATTATACCTTTCATTACTGATACAATATGAATTTGTTAAGAGGTTAAACAGTGTAAGTAAGAGAGTTAAAGAGTACATGTGTTGTTCAATAATAACAAAAGAAAAAGGGAGTATAGTTATCATTCCTTCAGGATGATACAATGAAAAATCTGTATTAATAGAAATTGCGACCTAAGGTCAAGTAACATACCATTGCCTAAGAAGAGAATGATTACATTTTGGTANACAGAATAGGTCAAAACATAGTCACCTTTTGCCTGATCCCCACCCTGGGGAACGTCTCCATGACGACATAGTGGTCCGGCCACATGTGATCCAACAGCTGAAATGGGGAATTAGAGGGATGTTATATCCATAGTACAGTAAGCAGAAAGCCCGAACACAAACCATATATACATGTAGTCTAAATGACGTCATATGGCGACCGTTTCCTCTCACTGGGCCCTATTCTTTGATTTTTTTAATAGGTCATTTGGCATCTTTCGTAAATCCCCACCATTACTTATAGTCTCAGAACTGCTCTCTGCATTACAATGATCTGGTAACGGAAAACAGTGCACTGCATACTGTATGTGTACCTAACACGATGGACTTTCACCTACCTCCCTCTCACAGTGAGCTCGCAGTTCGTCCTCTGCGATATCTTGGTTTTTGGTGGGCCTGGGAAAAAACAGAGCAACGCAGTTAATTTCCTACATACACACGAACACTACCATACATAACGCCAGCATACAGTCGTACACTGTGCATAGATTCCATTAGTATTATCGAAATAAAAATGATTAAAAAGTACAGATAAAAAGTTGTGATCGTAATGAATACATTATACCTTTCATTACTGATACAATATGAATTTGTTAAGAGGTTAAACAGTGTAAGTAAGAGAGATAAAGAGTGCATGTGTTGTTCAATAATAACAAAAGAAAAAGGGAGTATAGTTATCATTCCTTCAGGATGATACAATGAAAAATCTGTATTAATAGAAATTGCGACCTAAGGTCAAGTAACATACCATTGCCTAAGAAGAGAATGATTACATTTTGGTAACGACGTAATGATGGAAAGTTATGGAAAAAGGGATAATCATATACATTGTGTAAGAGCTGATGAATTATTACATTACCAAATAAGGTAATGTAGGAGAAAGACTTTGTGATACATCATGACATTGGAATGACGCTCTATAGGATAAAAGAGAATACATTGTAACTGGAAAATAAGAATATACGAATAAATCTTTTAGGCTCCCAAAAATATATATGTTCTTCATTAATAGTACTGGCGAAATAGTGACACTATAGTATTATATAAATAAAATAAAGGCAACTCACATGACACACAAGATGATTGTGTCGCAGTCCACCACCCCCGGCTCCTTAAAACCGACAGCCTGCAATACGAAATATGAAGTGGGTTTCTGTTCAAATGTATCATCTCCCTCCCTCCCTCCCTCCCTCTCTCTCTCTCTCTCCCTCTCACCTGTGTCTGGCTAACTTTGGGATGTTTCTCTGCCGCAGCTTCTATAGCAGCAGGATAAACGTTGTCACCGCAGCGGTTAAAATGAAGTACATTGGCTTTTCTGCCACTGAAGTATGTAAACCCGTACTCGTCCATAGACCCAATGTCCCTAAAATGTAGATCATTTTTACACTTCAGATAATGTGAGATACAATATTAATACATTGCGGTATAAACATGATGTTTTCCTAAGGCGTTAAACTTGATATTTTACGTGGCGCGAATAAAAAGGATGAAAAAGTCATTCAAGATTTTCAAAACTTACACTTCTTCTAATTCACAGCCGCAACTATCACAACCATCCAGTGTGTTGTCTCAACTGTCACACTCACCCAGTGTGTTATCACAACTATCACAATCAGCAAATTGTGTTGTCACAACTATCACACTCTCCCAGTGTGTTGTCACAACTATCACACTCACCCAGTGTGCTGTCACAACTATCACAATCATCTGGTGTGTTGTCATAACTATCACAATCATCCAGTGTGTTCTATCACAATCATCCAGTGTGTTGTCACAACTATCAAAATCATCCAGTGTGTTCTATCCCAATCATCCAGTGTGTTGTCACAACTATCACATTTTCCTTCCATGCTGTCAAATTTAACATACCCTGTGTAGTACCAACCAGACGGGGACATCACTTTCCTGTACAAGTCTTCACAACCGTAATATGTACTGAACATCGAAAATCCCCTTACGCATATTTCCCCTTCAACGCCAATTGGCACGATCTTTTGTTTTTATCAACAATTTTCACCTGAAATAAAATAATAGAATATTAACAGAAGTAGAATAACGTAACACAAGAGAATATAAATTATTCAGTGTATGATTAATGTGAAAAAATGATTCCGAGTGAATTTTACTGTACCAGATGTCTGCTCAAAAGAAATGAGCGAACTGTATATTTACCTCAGTATGAGCCATTGGAAATCCTACGCTACGGTATCTGTGGTCGTCATTGTCATCCCTCGGGTACGTTAAAAAATTGTACCAGGATTCTGTAGTTCCCAGCCCTACCTGAAAACGGATAGGTTAAACTATTGTACCAGTATTCTATAGTGCCCAGCCCTACCTGAAAACGGATAGGTTAAACTATTGTACCAGTATTCTATAGTGCCCAGCCCAACCTGAAAACGGATAGGTTAAAATATTGTACCAGTATTCAATAGTGCCCAGCCCTACCTGAAAACGGATAGGTTAAAACATTGTACCAGTATTCAATAGTGCCCAGCCCTACCTGAAAACGGATATGCTAAACTATTGTCCCAGTCTTCTATAGTGCCAAGTCCCATCTAAATGCCTGTTTCAGCATTCTATAGTTTTGTGAAACTGGTCATTGTCTTTCAAATGCAATACCAAGTAGGAGATAAACTTACCCCAACTTCTGGAAATAGTTTCGAACAATCCTCCCGCAGTTTCCTCGTTATGAGAGTGGATGTGAGGTAAACTGAAAGAGCAAAACATTTCTGTTTAATGCACTTACATATAACATACTCATACATTTGGGTGTTTGTTCTGGACTATTGTGTTTAAGAATTCACAAATTCCAATATCCCGACCGAGACCCTATAAAAATGGCCAGCATTCTACCGGAAACTTGTAGCATAATTTTCTATACCGCTTGTAAGTTGCGAGCTTCTGTTCATGTTCTTTTATGTTTCATGCCATTCGTACTCTTTGCTTTAACACCAAGGTAAAATACTCGTCTGCACTGGTGACTTAATTTCATACAAACGCACCTCGTTTCGCAGACGATATGTCATATTTCTCCACGATGTCAGCGTCAAGTTCCAACGCCCTGAACATGAATGTGGGATAGACCTCGAGGTTGGTGATCCTTTAACAACAGCGGACAGGTGAATTGTCTTGTGACAGGTGATATTTTCAATAAAGGTGCCTCCAATAAGGTTCAAGTATAATGGTAACCATTACCTAACTGTATGAAAATAACGCTTTAATCTTCACAGAGTAAATAAATACAAATATGAAAATATATAGATGAAAGAAAGATACTGATAACGTAACACCTTGCACTATCAAACCTACTTGCACTCATGAATGCTCTTGAACAAATCCTCCGAATGGTAGCCCTCGTCTTCGTTCTCTCCCTGGAAATCTACGTCCCACAGTGTGGACGGTAATATGACCAGCTGGATGTCTTTCTCATACTCCACACTGACCCAGTAAACGTAGTCCACCGTCAACTCATCGTGGACTGGATTGACCACGCCCAATACCACCGGCTGGAGAAACACGACACAAGTATTTTAAGGGATAATAACTGCTCGTATGAGATTCACATTTCACAATAAATACATGGTAAACAACTTACAGAAATATAAAAAATATCATTTTATCACTTAAAAAAGTGGTTATCGCAATTATTCTGGAATCTGTACTTGCCATCAGGCCACGTGGACCTTCATAGATGGCGCTATCTCGGTAATAATCTCTTAAGAAATTATTTCAAAAAGAAAACTTTAAAAAAAACCTGGTCTAGATTTCAATGTCGGGATGGTTTCATTAATCATCGGTTAAAATGGGAAATCACCCTTTGCCCTAGGAAAATCCTTTTTTAGGGGGCATAATCTATAAACCACGCAGAACACTTACTAATCTCAAACAATGAAGATGAAATTATTCTTATTTGAAAAAAAAATAAATAAAAATATATGAGATTTACCTCGTTAAAATTCCCACTTCGCAGCATGGTAAACTTGGTAGTATTCACGGCCTTAAACTGACTGTTGATGGAACATTTTGGTACACCAGTACTACCCTGTTATACCAACAAAAAGTTAAAGGTAATAAATTAAGTCTTTGATTTTATTTACGGTCCTAACAGTGTTCTCTGATATAATAAATACCCGTTGTTATACCTTTTGATGCTATGAATGTCCGTCACAATCATCAGTGTTACGGTCACATGCTCAATGAATACCAATGCGTCGTTTTCATTTATTAATGTTTTGAGCTAGTGTTTAAATATTGGTACGGACAAAAACCAAGTACGTAAGCCAAATGTAAACTTTACAGCCAACAATTTGACCTTTTTACATTACTGGTGTAAGTGTGAAATCTAAGGTATCACTAACTTTTCGGTGATAATTGGCGATAAGATATTGTATTGCCAACAAACACTTCATGGATTAATGGCGTCTTTAAACAAACTTAATCGAACGACCAAAAAAGATGGAATACTGTTATTTAAAAACGTGCCTTCAGATAAAGAAAAGTTGAAGGGTGGCAATATACTCACTGAGGAAAGACCCGTGTTAATTGGATCATCCCCGCTGAATGCGTCTCGTGCTGCTTGTATTTCCTCTTCTGATACCACTTCTCCAAGTTTGGTGACGTCTTCAAGAGACAACCTGGAAATGTCACGCTTAGAACCATAATAGCTCAATAGGGGGTGTAATGATGGTTTCGCATCATTGGTACATGTACCTCCGCCAAGGAGGTTGCCGCATGTTATCAACGGCGTTGTCAGTTTGTTAGTGGACAAAATACATGTATGTCACATACAGGTATTTTGGGGAAATTGATGTAAATTACAATAGTACAGGCAGTAATTCAGAAGGGAAAGAAGTGATGAAGTTTTCAACTGAATCCGAATCTTCAACACCCTGAGCTTAAAGCACACCTCTACAATAGAGAAACCCTTTGCAATTTCAAGTTACGGAAACGTTAGAGGTTTGTTCTAAGTTATCTATGAAGCTCAAGGCGGGTCTTCTAATATTCTAAAGGGATTTTCGTTTCTGTTCTTCCTGTCAGTAATTGCCCTTGTTTCCCTTGGCGGAGGTCTTTAGTGAATATATTTCTTCCCGTCTGAGACAAAGTTGCACTCCATAAAAGTGGGTGTGGGAGTCGGTAGAGATTAGATTGGCTCTTTGTGGTTAGAAATTAGTTGTCGCAATATGTGCTGAAATAGGACGGAAGTTAAACAGCCAGTAACCCGATTAATTACACATACGTACTATATTTTAAGAGCGACTGATATTAGAGGTTAATATATAGGTAAGGTCCCTTTTCCAACACCCACACCCACCCACCCACCCACACACACACACACACACACACACACACACACCGTTCCTCAGTCTACCAGTGCAGTTATCTAAACTGAAAACAATCCAGAACAACACGACAACAACACTCACCCGTATGCTGCACTGGACAGGTTTGGAATTACAACAGTCTTAAGGTGGGGTACTCTGAAATAAATGTGATAATACATATATTGTCATCAGACAGTATTATAGTCATCAAAAGTTTAGTGCCGCGAGAGAAGTAAGATCTGCTTATCCAGGTTTAGTAAACCGTCTCTAGCTGACAAGTTAGCCCTACCATTGGTAAATCCATACACATTTCTGGTTTTCCAGGACGCCACATATTGTCTAAAATTAAGCCTCGTTTTATACTATCTCGGATGGTATCCATTCTTTATTGATACTGTAGGAGGGAGGGGCCCAGCAAACACGTCACGTGGGAAACACGTGGTTAATCCGTGGCTATGACGGTATAATGTGGTAGCAACGTGCTAGCCACGTGATCCGAATGTGACGTGTTTGCTGGGGGGAGGGGTCTGCCAACAGATTTACCTACCTTTCAGACTGTATGTTTCTTCCACCAAATGTCTCCAAGTCTGGAATAAGTTCCTTCAAAGCAGCGACATTTGTTCCGGCCTCATTTTCTATTATCACCAGTGTTTTTGACTTTAACTGAAATAAGGAATCGATGCCATGGGTTCTATGACAAACGATTTTTTTTTCGAATTTTATACATTACTCAACAAAAATACAAGTTTGGCTGTCTCAGACGATAGTGTCAGAATCATGTCAATGCAAAAATTGTCAGTTTTTGTGAACATATTCAAAACCTTAAAAATATCGATTGCTTTGAAATAACACACCTTTGCATTGGAATTTACGCTTTAACAAATTTTGTCGCAATACATACTTGATTAAGAGCTATGTCTAGGAATTTTGAACGTGGTCGGTACGCATACGCCGGCTAAAATGAAAAGACATGAAGTTGCATCGATGTATAACGTTGGTGTATTATTTTGGAACATAAGGACACATCGGCATATCTAACGTGAAAGGTGAATGTATGACACACGTGTTCTATTTCATTAGTTGTTTTAAAGACCTGCGTGCTCTATTGTTTCCCTATATTTTGTTTCAATGGAAAACCATTGGATCGACAGAGGAGCTTTAACATGAGAACAGAAACAACTGTCATACTTTTGTAATTCCTTTGAAAATGCATTTGAATATAATTTTCTATGCTTTTTGTTTTTGCTTCTAAAATTACATATAATTTGAGATAACATAACGTAATTACCGCGTTTATGACAACGCCAATTTGTGCTGCAGCATATACCATATATACATATGAAGCGTCCGGAACACTTGTAATGGTGAGAAGATCTCCCTTCTTCAAACCTAGTGCCAGCAGTCCTTTGGCGAGTTCTGTGCTCTGAAAACCAATCAGTTCAGGTTAGCTTTATTCTTGCCGGGTAAACACAGTGATTAAGCTCTGACTATTACATAATCACAACTGTGTGACACGCGTCGTCTACAATAGGTATGCATGTATCAGTTATTCTGATTATGATTTCAAAACCTGTCATTAACTACTGTGTATTAAAACTCAGAGACCAGCTAGGCAGCGTAATACTTATCATGGTCGTAAAGCGACTCTTTTTCAAAACCTTGGACGAAGTTCAGTTACCTTAACATAATTCCATCAGTTACTCTAAGGGTTCATTCCCAATCACACTATCGTCCTACGCAGAAGGATCCAAGTCTCGCTGAATTCAATCAGGTGTTCAGATTAGCAAACGTCCTCTCGTTTCCAACGTAAATACACTATAGCTAATAAGTCCCCGGTCACTTTAATAGCACACGCTGTCTACATCAGACGCGCTAATGCGCACGTCCCCGACAGTGTTAATGATAGGGGGATTACGATGGACAGCGCATGTTGCTCACAGCAGTAGGCACTGCCGCCGAAGTTAAACCGGTAATTAAGTCTTTAACTTGACTAAACATGTTTTGCTTTGTAACTTGCGTCCTTCAGTCTTGCTGTTGCGGAAGCGCCGGCGGGACATATCTCCACCTTGCCGATATTTATCCCGACTCTCGACTTTAAAAGTATTATTGGTTTTGATTTTATCAAAGTCTTATTATATCAGAAAACCTGCATATTTTCATACGTTAAGAGAATTATAGAAACTGTAGAAAAAGCTACTCGTACATCAGGGATAAAAAACAACACCTTGCAGCACTATTACCTATTATTCATCACCAGAAGTTACTGTTTCACTTTTTTCTCCCAAATTACAAAGTCTGATGACAACTGAAAGCCTTTAGCCATACCTCAGGGCAGTGGGAGATAGTCTGGATTTGATTAAATGTAATAAAAGTATATTTTGAAGAATTTTCCTAGCCTTCGGCAATTTCCGCAAAGCTTCGGCATGCGCGGCAATACAGAGCTGTCGATATCTNATAACACACCTTTTCATTGGAATTTACGTTTTAACAAATTTTGTCGCAATACATACTTGATTGAGAGCTATGTCTAGCAATTTTGAACGTGGTCGGTACGCATACGGCGGCTAAAATGAAAAGACATGAAGTTGCATCGATGTATAACGTCGGTGTATTATTTTGGAACATAAGGTCACATCGGCAGATCTTACATGATAAGATGAATGTATGACACACGTGTTCTATTTCATTTGTTTTTTAAAGACCTGAAGGCTCTCCCAACACAGGCTTCAAACAACTACGCATGCGCGAAAAGTGCGCTGTTTGAGAAGTTGGTGAAATTGACAAAGCCTGCCGGTGTTTACCGTCTGGTTGATTTAATTTCATTTGCTCTCTGGTTTCTTTTTGAAAATTTATATTAGAAATGTTCGAGTGATTTTATCTTGTAAAAAGTAAATCCGTCGGAATTCGTTAGAATAACATTTATTTTACCTTCATTTTAAAGGGATTCCCATTGTATTTATAGTGTTATATGTGGCCCCAATTGGGATTTTCACCCCTCCTCCACTCTTGATTAATAAAATTCTTCATGGGCCAGATTGAAAATGATATTGCAAAATACATTCTAAATCGTAGGAAGCTTAATTGCAGATAATGCTGCGAGGACATTCTTGTGCAAGGGCGAACTTGGCCAATATAATTTCTTTTACTTTCTCCAGTTTCTCCCGGTTTTGGAGCGCCTGTTCTAATTTTTGAAAGCAAGGTAATGGAACCAAACAATACGATGCAATATGTAATCTCGTAAAATTTGCTATTTTTAAGTAAAGACCATAGCATGGAGTACATTGAAATGCGACTCGTTTATTATTATGATCTTCAATAATAGTTAATATAAAATATGCTATATAATTAGTTCTTGTTCCCGGCCTATTTATGAACTTAATTGATTTTTTTAATATTTGGAGATTAAAAACACAAAAGTTGTCTGGTTTCATATCGAGGCACCACATATTGTTCGTTTGCTCTGTTTCCCTATTTTTTGTTTCAATGGAAAACCAATGGATCGCCAGAGGGGCTTTAACATGACAACAGAAACAACTGTCATACTTTTGTAATTCCTTTGAAAATGCATTTGAATATAATTTTCTATGCTTTGTGTTTTTGCTGCTAAAATTGCATATAATTTGAGATAATATAACGTAATTACCGCGTTAAAGACAACGCCAATTTGTGCTGCAGCATATACCATATATACATATGAAGCGTCCGGAACACTTGTAATGGTGAGAAAATCTCCCTTCTTCATCCCTAGTGCCAGCAGTCCTTTGGCGAGTTCTGTGCTCTGAAAACCAATCAGTTCAGGTTAGCTTTATTCTTGCCGGGTAAACACAGTGATTAAGCTCTGACTATTACATAATGGCAACTGTGTGACACGCGTCGTCTACAATAGGTATGCATGTATCAGTTATTCTGATTTTGATTTCAGTACCTGTCAGTACCTACTGTGTATTAATAACTCAAATACCTGCCAGGCAGCGTCCGTAATACTTGTCATGGTAGTAAAACGACTCTTTTTCAAAACCTTGGACGAACATAATTTCATCAGTTACTCTAAGGGCTCTGACACTATTGTTCTACGTAGAAGGACCTAACTGTCGCTGAATTCAATCAGTTGTTCAGATTAGCTAACGTCCTCTCGTTTCCAACGTAAGACGTATAATCACCTGTTTTTCTGTTTCTTTTTTCAAATTAACTTTATTCACTCAGCGAAAAAAGAAAATCTACATAAATGAAATATTTAAACAAATAATCAAAAATTAAAAGCATATGTATATAATAATCCGTGCTTATCTGTTGCATTTAACGAGAGTTCCCGCAGAGTTGGTTTGCTCTACGGAGAACGATTGTTTCATGGGGTATGCGCCCTTATCCTTGGAATACGTTGTCCGTGTAGTTTTCTGTGTAGTATTTCTTATAACAACTGATCTTAGACATGCAACGACATGCCTTGGTATTCCTTGAAAACGCATCTTCAGAAACGTCTGCCTGGCCATACATTCATTATGACTGACATACATGTACGATACTATCTCATCAGGTTCACTGGCGGTTTTGTTTCATGTATATATATATATTCATTTATATTCTAGGTGTTGCTGATGGTGCACACATGGGCTTCAACCCCAACTTTTTCGCAAAGTCATATTGCCAAACCAATTATCGCCCCTGTGCAAAGTTTGCATGCTTCTTTGACAAGATAATCAGTGAAAAAAACTTTTCAGTGCATATAATGCTCGTTAGACATTTAAATATATGAACATTTTTTACAAAATGATCAACACTAAGGCTTCATTCACATGCAATGTCTATTTTCTAAATTCTATTTTCTATTCGCGGTATGTCTTATGATCACTGTCTGTGCCCTGAATATCCCGCGGCGTAATTACTGGCAGCGCGAGCCAGTTACTTATACGAAGCTGTAATTAATTCTCGGCTGTGCTCGGAGGAGATTCTGATACCGTGACGCATGCGCAGTAGGAAGTTAGCAAGTTAATGACGACCGCGATTGCTTTGAAAAATGTGTTTGTCGATTTTGTGCAACAACAAGACAAAGAAGACGAAGAAGCTATACACACGACCGATACGAGTGCAACCGCCATGATTCGTTGGCAAGCGTATCAGAATCTCCTCCGAGCACAGCCGAGAATTAATTACAGCTTTAGAAGTAACTGGCTCGCGCTGCCAGTGATTACGCCGCGGGATCTTCAAGGAACAGACCGTGATCATAAGACATACCGCAAATAGAAAATAGAATTTAGAAAATAGACATTGCATGTGAATGAAGCCTTAATCTACAATATATATATACAGTGCATGTGCACTGCTAGTCCTTCCCCGGGACAAACCTGAACACCACTCTTACCTCTAACGTGACACGTATCTGCCCCTCCCTCTGTCAATTGGAGAAGTCACGTTATGGGCTAGTCCGTCCCTTTTCGTGCTCCCCCATTCCACCTTTAGGCATATATATATTTATATGTATGCTTGTATGAATGTATGTATGTATGTGTTTGCGTGTGTTTGTGAGTGTGTTTGTGTTTGTGTGTTTGTGTGTGTGTGTGTGTGTATGTGTGTGCGCCTGTGTGTGTTTTTGAGTGTGTGTATGTGTGTGTACGTGTGTGTGCGTTTGTGCGTGTGTGTGCGTTTGTGTGTGTGTGTGTGTGTGTATGTGTGTGCGTTTGTGTGTGTGTGTGCGTGCATGTGCGTTGGTGTGTATGTGTGCATGTGTGTGTGCGTGTGTGTGCGTTTGTGCATGTGTGTGCGTTTGTGCGTGTGTGTGTGTGTGTGTGTGTGTGTGTGTGTGTGTGTAACAACGGTGACTCTGATGGAGATTAGAGAAAACAACAATTTCATTCTAATGTAATAATTACTAAACCTCTGTCAAAATAACCAGAGGTAGATGAGAAAGTTTTTTTTTTACTAATCGTGTAATATTTCGGTTAAAGCGACTATGTGTTTGTTTGGTTATTGTTGTTAAATTCAGTTTTATTTTAAGTTTTCAGTTGTTTCTGTTACTCAGTTTATCGAGTAAAATGCATAACAATGAATAAAATTATATTCTTCTTTTGGATTTTAGTATGTGTGTCAACTTCCCCCTCGGGGTGCACAAACTTGACCCAGGGTGGTAATTTAAAAAAACGAATTAACTCTTAGATCGCTAACATCCCCCTTCCACCTAACTCGGTTCTGGACCAGTCTTTTCACTGTGGACAAACTCACCTTGTCACATATCATTTTATAGGTGAGATCCTGGCCAAACTGCGGCAACCTGATGGCTACCCTGTCCGGCTTTTCCCTGGCCGCTTCCTGCAAGCATTCCCACACCGTGCGTCCCACTAGAGGCTCGC